GTTTTTAAGCAGTGCAAATAACAAAACTTGAAGAACTGATTTTGATTGATCTGTCACTCCTTTCTTCGCTTTCAACTATTCTTTTTTTTTCCAATTCTTTATTGGAAAATTAGTTTAATTGACTGAAGGGACATCAGACTCATTTGTAGAACACTGGTAAGATGTTACTAACAGTTAATAAAAAAAAATTTTTTCATTCGAGCAATTTTCTGCCTTGCTTTTTTTCAATTGCTTAGTTATATAATTTACTGCTTAATGAAATTGCTGTTAGATGTTATGTCACAAAAGACTTTTCAATAAGAGAATTTTTGTAAAATATTTTTCTTATTCATTATTAACAAAATTTTTACATCAGTTCTACTTCTCAAACGATCGTCTGTTAGTTGGGCTGAGCGAAAATGAGGAATTTAAAGTGAATGTTATTTCGCGGCAACATCAGTTCTTAGACCCAAAAAGAGAAAGCAATTTTTTCCGAAAGAAGCTACCAAGAATTTTTTTGTCACAAAAATTAGTAGCAAAAATTAGTTATTAAAACTGAATCTATTAATACATATTTCCAAAAAATTTTGAGCAGGAGAATTTGCATGACCAATAACCCAAAAAGGTTACTAAATGTGATGCACGCATTGCTTTACACAGAGAAAACGCCAACCCAAAGTCATTTCAATCCCTTTATTAAATTCGCCATTTTTCACCACTATAATAGCTCTTTAAAAACTATTAACATTCAAAAACAAAAGACTTGAGGTGTTTAACTAATGTAAAAGTGGAAGCGAAGTCTCAAACTTGAACCAGTAAATTTTATATGTCTTCCTTATTTGAAGACCGACTGTGGTTAACTGCATTATTCTACTACATTCAAAAAAGAAATTTTCTTCCTTGGAATTAAACAGTTACATAGCGCGGCAATCCAAGATAAAAAATCCTTCTCATTTGATCACACAAGACGCCAAACTTTAAATTTTCTGCGTGTGACTTCGTTCCTTTTTTCTGCTCATTCTTTTCCAAGATAGAGGAAGATGTAAGTGAACAGATAAGGCGGGTTCTTCAGAAGAGAAGCAGAATCGAAACTATTAGAAGAAAAAATGGTTTTTTTCATTCACTGCATATTTTTAAAGTCTTTAAAGAACAGTCACAAAACTACAATTTTTGTTTCACTCGCGTACTTTTATAAAAAACAATTATATAAACTCCTCTGCTGTTCTTATCTTCAATTTTTAAAGGTCTTATATTAAATTAGGACGATAAAGTGTGGAGTAACAGCAAAACGGAACTGTTCTAAATGTGAAGACTGTGATCTTCCTTATTATTTTTTGTTTAAGGTCTCAAAACGAAAAGAAAAACGTGGTGGAGAATTTTTGAAAACTGGAGGTCTCTTACACAGTGCATAAAAGATTAAATGGGGAGAGCTCAAGCGGAAGAAGTTTCACGAAAGAAGAGCCAAATACGCCTACTGCTAGTCTTGAGCTACTAAATGTTTCAGCTTATCATACTGATAAGATAAACCTTTATTGTAAAGTTTTCTTGCACATATGCAAAATTCTTGCCGGCGGTAGCATTAGCTTTTGTTGCTGTGCTGTCAAATAGATTAACTGAAAAACCATTATTAGCACAAATACAACAGACGTATTCTCAAATGTAAATTCAATGGACGCATAAAAATTTTAAAAAAACTATTTTTTAATCTGCCACTACTTTTACGCCACACACTGTATGTATGAGCACAGCTTACGGCTTGCTTCAATCGCAGTTGAAATTTTTAACTGAGGCGATAGTTCTAATTGACATAATAAGACCAACTGTGTCGCTTTTTACACCTTTGACAATTGTCTTTTAGCATCTTGCCATTTTTCAAAATCATTCTTTATTTAATCGCAACCGATAAGCCAACAACAGGCTCAGAAAGCTAGTAATGGTTTTGCTGGAATGACCGCTATTGGAAATTATTCCTTAAGAATGGAATCAAAGAGCAGTAATTGCCAATGGATGCTTAGAACCAGCAAGTCGCGGCTAACCAATTCATTTGACTAGCAGCTTAAACAAGCAAGCTAAGAAAAAAAGCAGTAGCGATCAGCGTCATCCTACCAATATGCAAAAATCTCTCAATGATCGATACAAACAAAGACAGTCTTTTTGAGGAAATGCATATTACATCAACATTAGCAAAGAGGGTAAACTACAGACCTTTTGCAGAAGCGTTATAAGCATAAAGTGTAAACGGTTCTATAACAAAAAGGTAAAGAAAAAGGATGACTTAGGTAACTTTGCTTAATCTCGTAGCTGACTGTTGCGACAACCGCTTCAAGTTTTCGCCAACACTGTTTTCATCTCACTTCGCAACTGACCAGTCCACCTTCATTTTAGGCTCATGTTTATAATAATTTTGTAAAAGTGTAACTGCGTACCAGAAGTGTAGTTTTGAAACTTTAAACCGTTATTATTTTTTATAGTAGTTTTTGAAGTCAGTTTTTTTTATTATTCGTTATGGATAACTTAAGAAGGGAAAATATGTTTGAAGCAAGACGAATTGTTTGTTTTATATTTTTTTAAGCAAATTTTCCTATAGAAGCGATATGAATTTTTGTATTTTCTATTTTCTAATAACATTATACTTAAGTGGTTACAATAATAATCAAAAAAAGTACTGCAAACGCATTTTTTGATACATTTTTGTTCCTTCTTGATTAGATCAGTGCTTCTCTTAAAAATTTTTAGTGGTCTTTATGACACTGCAAAGTTATTTTTGAACTATTTTACAAGAGTATTTTTTTAAATGCTTCTGAGAACACAGCTTATAGTGCATCTAATTATACACGTACGAATAAAAAATTTTTGTGGTGAGGTGTGATACTGCAATTGCGCATTAAAAATCAATCTAACACTGTTTTCTATCAGTACTTTGAGATTTTGGTTAACGAAGTAGATGGAAAGCATTTGGTTTTAAATAAGTGAAAAAGTTTATTTCTGTATCAATTTTTGTATTTTCTTTTCTTAGATTTCCATATGAAAGTAGTAAAATCATTGTAAAATTATCTGCTACTGACCACTAAATTTAGTGGAAGAAACAATAACGGAAAATAGAGTAATGTGCACTGATATGTTCAAAGTGCGAAATTGAAGTTAAACTTTTAAATTTAATTTAATAGTTTTTAAGAAAACTGCAATGTTCAGCTCTTTTAAGGTTGGCCACTTTTGTAGTTTTCAGTAAATTTATTTGTAGAATTTATTCAGATATTGCATTGAATAGCGAATGAACAAGCGATAAAATTATTACTGTCATCTACGCACTTTCTGCCGAGGTTAATAAAATTTTTGAATAAAACCAATTTATAAAAATAAAAAAATTAGTATTTTGACATCTCAGCGTTTTGAAGATTTTGGAAGTTTTGAAGAGAGAATTTATAAACAAACAATTTCTTAATAATTAACGCTGAAGTAAGTGGTTTATGAGCATTTCAGCTATGAAGTCTACGCCGCTGTGGTATCGAAGGTTGTACTTCAAAATCGGTTATAAAAATTCATGTATGTGAACATAGCAAAAATTGAAATTTTTTAATAAATTAGATTTGTTAGATAGTTCTTACTATTGGTTTTATGTAGTTTGTGTAATTCATTTTCAAATATTATGCGATTTGATCGCAAAATGCCAAACGTAACAACAACAGAGGTTTTGTTCTCTGTTCGTTGCTTCAATTTTTTCTATTTTTTGTAACAAAAATAAAGAAATATGAGTAAATCAAAAAAATAAGAATAAAAAGAACTACAAAAGTCACATGAATGTCTGGTTTGTCGTTGTTGAATGCATGTCTTTGGCACTTACGTTCTTTAAAGGTTAACACTGTTTTGTTACTGACTGTTATACTGGTGGTCCGCCTATTCAGATGTTCGATGATTCAGATAACACCTATTCCATTGAAATATATTTGACGTAAAAAGAAAAAAACCAATCTACAACAGTTGGTGGTTATTATTCATTATTACACAAATTGACTTTTTAATTTCAAACCGTTTAAAATAATCGTTTTAGTTTTTGATATTATGTAAGTTCGTCGTTCGCATGAAAAATGAGAAGTCGTCTTTCTGATTACGATACAGTTTGTTAAAAGGCAAACGAAGTTAAATGTGCTAAGCAGTGCATCATTTTAAGCTTTCAGTAGTCTATTCTTCATCAACCTTTTGTTACTGAATTTTAATTGTTTCTATATTTATTGATTAGACGAAGAGTCTTGAATAGAGTTTTTTTAATTAATAATTTCCTGCATCAATTTGAAAATATTGGTCAACGTTAACCTTAATTTTTTTTTTCAAAAACATTATAGTTTACAAGAAATACATATATTTTTTTGATTTGACATATTTGTTTAAACGATCTATAACTGATCCGAGTGTAGAATAGACTTGTACAGAAAGAAAAAGCAGCAGACGAATCTGTAATTTAAAAAGCCTTAAAGTGCGATTTGAATATGCAGGTTTTTTGTTTGATGAATAATACAATATAAGGATTATTTTTTACTCTATTTTTTTTTCGTCTAATAAACAATAAATGAAGTTTTTTAAGAGAAATATGTGTTGAAGTCCGAGATATTCGATGAGGCGACACCACTGTACCATTGTACAAACAAATTAAGATCGACTTTACTATAAGAATACAATAAATTTGCTCCCACCCTTTTGACATTAATTCTGGACTGTCATCTTTCAAAAATTTTTCAACATTTATATCCTGTTTACTCCTGTTTTTTGAAGCTTTCGAAATACGTTAATCATGGTTACAGATAGATTATATCTGTTAAAACCATTTGTAAGATGTCTCTTCTTTTTGTGGTGTTGTGGAATAACCGGTAAATTTCATACTTTAGATGTCAAAACGATTACTGCTACTTAATCAAAATATAAAATTATAAAGGCTTTTTTGTTTCACTAGTTTTTCGCTTTGAATGCAACAATTTATAAACCTAAAATTTGAAAGAAATATGGTTCAAATAAAAATTTTTTATTAGTCTTTTACCGTAAAGTGGTATAATACATAGAAAGAGCTTGAAATCTGCTGTATTTTAGGCGTATATACCTATCTATGCTTTTCATCTTGTGCTTGTTTCAGTACGTTGTTGTCAACCAAAATGCGCTGACGAAGAATGCTATGCTGTTAATCACGTTGTGCAGTCATCAAACGAACCGCATGCTAGCCACTACCACTATTATCCAGAAAGCGGATCACATGGCTCTAGCCGTGAGGAAGCTCGCTTACTTCAACCTGATAACAATGTAAAGTCAAATGATCATCTTCCCTCACTTCTAAGATTTTCAAAAGTTCCAGCAGATGATCAGCAAATTGAGATTCCTCAGAACGTCGACCAGCAACCAAAAATAGAGCAAGCTATGCCTGAGACTGTAAAAACAAAGAAAGAATGCTCAAGAACAATACGAAATCAAAAAGATTTGGAAGCTTGTACAGTGACTGCGTCTTTTAATAATCGTGCTGATTTAGCTATTCACGGAAATCTTACTTGTACATTCGATTTAAACGCCAACTGCAAGTAATTTTTTATAATTTTTGTCTATTACTTTTTTTAAGTGATTGTTCTAAAGTTTTCAAAAACTAAATTAAAACATTTATTTTTCTGCAACAGTAGTAAGCATTAAGATTTTATTCGGCTCCGGAAGAACCGATACAGTGGAAAAATGGTCATTTTATCGCATCATATGCTGAGCTTGCCGAGAGTCTTGGAGAATTAGTGGGGCGTCCACACGGAAAATATCCAGATGGCAGTTTTATATACGTCACTGCTCAGGAACACCAAAGTGACACTGGGAACGCCGTACTAAGAGCCGATATTCCATGCCAAATTGGTGACGGGCGGTTACGTTTCGAGTAACACTTTATTTAAACTTTGTTGTTCAATCACTGTAAAAAGTAGATATAGCAAGGAGAATTTCATAAATGCTTTAACAAGGTTTTGTTAACTGTAATACAATTTTATAACATAAATCAGTGCTGTTATTAAAATAGCTTGTCGAAAAATAACATTGTTTAGCAACTGTCATACTTTTCTAGTACTCTTTGACGACGTTAAGACAGTTGAAAAATTTCATTTTCAATATCAAGGCGCACTGTGACGTAAAGTGCAACTGCAAAAAGACATAGCTGGATAAATACTTGTGACAGAAATTAAAAGTTTCAATCGAGTGTTTTGGTAACATAAATTGATGAATAATATTTTTGATTTTACTTGATTTCGCACAGCTAAGTTTTGCTTTTAATTTAGCTGACTCTTAAATTGCGAATACAACGTAATTTTACTATGCTATCAATAGCTTTCACTTTGCCTAATACCCTTAATCATATCAGCTAATATACTGTGTCTCCCAACTTTATTGATTTAAACAATTATGATGAGGCAGTTATTACAGCTTGTGGAAGAATGATGCTAACTGTCATATAAAAGTATGTACAAGGGCCGAATCCAGTCAGTCCTGCAGTGAGGTTATTGTTTTTTATTTTCTATTTTTAACATTACCTTAGATTATTTAATCTTAAGAATAAAGATATTTTAGACCATACGAAATAAAGACCAAATAGCAGTAGATGTTGAAGTGGTTCATCCAAAAATCAACCCCTTCGCAGTAGAGGTTATCCTGTGATCATTTATAGATAGCTGCTTCTCGTAGTCGTTTTTGTTTTAATAAACACTTAAGAACATTCAGACTTTGAAAACTCTTTAGAATATTTTTCGCTTTTTGAAATTTTTAGGTTTTACTTCAAAAAAAAATGAAAAATAAAGAATCTGAAATAAACTTTATGATGCATATATAAATTTATGTGAACTTTTTTTGCTATCATAAAAAAGTTTCTTTGTTAAGCAAGTAAAATGTGAGTTTTAACGAGTGGTTCCTAAAACATCCAAGTTTTAAAGATTGTTGTCAGCTCAATCGTGCCAGGATGTATTTTGATAATAGACAATGTCATTTATCAAGCTGAACTTTGCGCAATTGCCACTGAACCGACAAAAATAGCGACTGCAACTATTCAATCGGTTTTTACTAGCTTTATAATACTTATTATGACGTCTGTCAAATTACATTTTTTCTAATTCTTTACTTTAACAGTCAAAAAAACAATACAGACATTTTTTTCACTTGAAATAAATTATAAAACTGTAAATGTCTTGGTTCCTGAAACCTCTTTTTTTCACTGGAAGTGGTGAAAAATAGTTGAATTTGTCTGCTAGTTAAAAGTTAGTTAGTTTAAATGAAAAGTAATTCGAGAAAACAAACTTTGATTGTTAAAAAGATCTAATTATCATTTTTTGTAAAAAGTAATATTTTAATTTGTTATTACACTAGATAAAAAAGAGCACGAGTGATCAAGCCGTTAGCAACCTGGCAGGCAGCAAAAACAGAAATCAAAATGATGAAGATGTTGAAAAAGTGACAACTTGCTTTGATACTAGTGCATCGAGCAGCAGCGAGAATGACAGGGTAAGTGACATAAAAGTGAGAATACATTATGTTCTGTTAGCGTTAGACCACTTTAGTCTTTCACAGCATAAAAACATCATATATATACGTTTTCTTGAAAGGTCCAGGACTGTCAATAAGCTAATATACGGTCACGTTCGCTTTAGACACTAGTTTAAAATGGAAGTTATACTTTTTAGGCTTATAAAAGTTACACACATAGAACAAATTGCTTGCAGAATTATACATTATTTTTTTTTCTTAATGGTCAGGACACTCTCAATGTGTTCTGCAAAGTCTGCAACAGATGTAGTAAAAAAGAATCTAACTTTTCAGTCGTCTCAAGAAAAGTACTCTGAGATGAAAAGTAATATAGAAGAACGTAGTTTTGGAAAAAATGTAACTTTTAAAATGAGGACTTAGGTCAAATATTTGAACGTTTTTAAGTGGATCGCCCGTCACTATTTCCGCATACTTGTTTCTACGATTTATCTGTAAGACAAATTCGGTCGGTGAATACTTGAAATGAAAATTTGTTTGCATTAAGTTATTCTCTTTTTGTACTTCTTCTGGTTATTTCAGCTTCAAATAGAAAGCGTTGAAAATAAAATGCTGACTTCAGTAGAGACGACTAATCGGAATGCGATTCGAGCGAGACTGAATTCTGTACCTATAAGAGGTCTTAGCCCATGCGAATTGCTAAACTGTAATTTTAGCACTGATTTGTGCAATTATCACAACCCAATTGGTTTGACAGCTTTCGAAGTGTTTGTTTTTTCTTTTATTTAATTACTTTCATCTGCGATTTTCACGGTTTACATTTACACTGATTTATTTTTGTCAGTTAAACATTAGAAAAAAAAAATTAAATCGAGGTTTATAAAGCGGCCACAGTATTGATAATACTGCGCTTTTTTATTTAGTTTTGGCAAATGGGAAGTATCATTTGAAAGAACCAGAAAGCAACTGAGTCGAAAATCTGAAAAGAAACATTATGAAGGTTGAATTATAAAATTTTTTATCATAACGTTACACGCTTTACTCAACGATTTATAACCCTAAAAATTCCAACTTGTTAAAGAAAACTTTCAGACGGATTTGCTTACGTCGGTGGTGAAAGCAAATTCTTAAATCCCAAGAAGCGTATAATTTACCTGCTTGAATCCCCAATTTTTTCGCTGAAAGACGACTCTGTACTGACGTTTGATGTTTATAAGAGGACAAATTCGATTAGTCTAAAAGTAAAATTTTGCTGTTTTAGACAACTAAATAAATACTTCGTAGTACTGAAAAAATGATAATGCACTGTTCACCCTACTGTAAGGGCTGGTTAGCTTTAGCTGTCAACAGTTGTTACGAATTCTTTTTGTGAAGTGATACTGTAATGTAGTAATCTTTAGACAGTAGAAGCTTATTTCAAGTCTCAGATTTTAACGTAATGAGACTTAATTTAAGATTTTTTAAGGTTTGCATAAACAACATAACAAATTGCGTCTACGAAGTCCCACGCTCGAATAAACAAATATTCTGGAGGCGTAGTGAGATTATTACGTTGCCGAAATATTCCAGAAAAGTAACTACTTTTTTACTGATAGTTTATACGTCTTTTTGTGTTTTGCGAAGCTTTCAGGTATTTTAGTTAGCTTCTCTATTTCTGTATGATTATACCGCATTGGCATTAGTTAAGGTTAGCATTCAAAAATAAGTGGGGATTTTCTTCATACTTTGTACTTTTTCCGCTCACTATTCTCTGCTCCATTCTTGTTCTACCGTTTCTAAAAAGCTGTTGTTGCGGTATAATCAGGGAAAAAGACAAAGAGGTAATAGTCGCAAACGAAGAGAAAATACACAAAAGGTGTAAGCGTGGCAAATGTTTGCAAAGGTTGTGAATGATTCTGAGTTGGGATCTGTTACGCCATATTCTGCGACAAATTTCTAGGCACAGCATGGCTGTCCTTCTCAATTTTGTCTAGAATTTCGAGCTACTGCTTGATAATAAAGGAAGTGTCATCAATAAGTTAAGGTCAGCTAACTTATTTAACTCTTCTACGGTTTGATTTCGTACTTTTATTACAAACAAGCTAAGTCAAAAATACTTTAACTTTGTTATTCTTCGCACATTTTATCTTTGTATATAAAATTGGTTGTGAAGGGCACAGAACTGCTTCGCTTTGCCTGCTTAACTTCACTAAAGTTCATATTTGCAATTTGATTTTCTCAACTTGAATTAGTGTAACTCTAAACTAGCTGGTCAACCCAAGCTTACCGATTCATATTTAATTGTTTGGCACCAAAGAAGTAGAAAATATTTTTGTCCCACAGAGAAGAGAGAATTTTTGGATAATGCATAGGAGAAGCACGGATAAGGAAATAAAAATAAGAAACTGCACTTTTTATTTCTGTAAACTCTAACTTTAAGATGGAGAAAAACAGATCAAAAAAAGTATTTACGAATACACCGAATAAGTAGTAGATGTAGAATCTG